CCCCAAAAAGCATGATGATTATAGAAGCTTGCAGTGTGAATTCACAATGAAGCCAAGCACTTTTACTGACAACCTCTGGTTTGGTACAATGTAGGAGACACCCAAAACATCTTCTTGCTAGTGATGATGATTTGGAGTTTCCAGGGCGACTGTGAGTTGGTTATCGCTGAAAAGTATTCCGAACTAAGCTTGCTCTCTGCTGACCCATCTCACCCTCGGCCCCAGCCCCCCCAGCAGCACTGCTGCCCCCCCCTAGCTCTTGATCACAGAGAAAAATTTCCTGCACTTTGTTTGAGAAAGAAGACCCTGATGTTTTGCCATCGGGCCGTTCCCAACTCCTACCAAGGATGTGCCAGTTAAAGTGCTCAACGGGGGTCGTGCGAGAGTTGCGAAAAAGCCTTTTGTAAAACTTACCTAGCTTGCTTCTCTTTCTAAAGTGCAACAAGGATGAATAGGATGGGCCCAGGTATGACAATCGATGGTTGTGCATGAGCTTAGAAACACGGCTGTGGGGTTTCCTTCTATAACTTTTGTCCTTGTGAAAACTTGTGACACATTAAAAAAAACCAAGTTACCAAACTTGATTCAGTTCTTTGATTTGTTTATGGGGGTTTTGTTGTGTTTATTTTGGACTTGTAGTTTTTTTTTAATTATTATTATTGTTATTTTGCTTTCATTTCTAAACCCAGAGTAAACTTGCTGTGGCTGCTGCTGCTGTTGCTGTTGCTGACACACACCCCTTGTGATTCTTTCGTTTGTTTGTGTTTTGGTTTTAAACCCTTTCTTCATTGGCTTGCATTCCCAACTGCACGTGTGTGTCCCCCCTCCTCCTCCTCCTCCCGAACATCTCTGTGTTCACTCTCGAGTGAAATGTTTCTCTTGCTGTGGCCCACCTCGTCTTGTCCACTTTCCTCCCAGTATCTCTACACCCATCCTCCATCTTTCCCTCAGTAATGGTGATAATGACTTGACTTCATGCTGCCCATTTGTTTAGAGAGAGAGAGACACTCTCCGGGGTTGGGGTGGAGGAGAAGAACCAACCCCTGCTTTGCCACTGGACCTGCTTTTCCGTTAGTGCCGCATTCTCTTTTCCTCTGACCGAGGAAGGGATGTTCATGTGAAAGCAGTTGTCACCTGAAGTTGAGAGCCGTGGGTGTTTGCAATAGACACAACAGGAGACAATTCATTGATGTTAGGGAAGGGGAGAAAAGACTGTCCCTAAACAAAAATTTCAGTGAAAGCCATCCCAAAATTCGGCTTCTAAGGGCCCAATCCAGAAAATCCTGTTGCTGAGTGCAGCCCATTTATTTATTTCTCGGGGGGGGGGGGGGGGGCTGGCCACGGGAACTCCCTAGATGTATCGGAGGAACGATGCACAGCTTGCTGGATTGTACCCTGTACGGTCACCCTATCTTTACACTGCTTTCAATATTAGAACTAGATTCGTTTAGTAGAAATGGTGTGCATGGTCTTGACTGTTTATTTGTTTACTTATTTGAAGATCCTTGATTCTGAATGGGTGTCCAAGCGCTTATAATCCCTAAAGGCTCTACCCACGTAAAACCAATGTGAAGATTTCGTGGAAAAGAGCAAATACGAAACCTATGCTCTCCTCCCCCCGCCCGCCCCCTGTTCTTCTGGTGGAAGGATGTGGCGTCCCACTTGGAACTTTAATCCATCCAAGAGTTCTGGCTTAATATGTTTGTGTGTCACAAACCCCAAATTATTAAAACGCCTCGATGAGCCTTTTGGTTTAGGTAGCACTTTGTACGTTTGAAACCACTCCACTTTTTTGTTGTTGTTCAGTCGCACCGTCGAGTCCGACTCTTTGCGACCCCATGGACCAGATCACGCCAGGCCTTCCGGTCTTCCGCCGTCCTCTGAAATCACAGAGTCGGAAGGGGGCCAAACAGGCCATCTGGTCCGACCCCCCTGCTCAATGCAGGATCAGCCAAGAGCAGCCGCTGCCAGTGAGGGGGGGGGGGCTTGCCACCTCCCTACTCTTACTGTTAAAAAACCCCCAACACACCTAATATCCAGTTGGTACCTTCCCGCCCGTAATTTAAATGCATGATTGCAAGTCCTGTCTTCTGCTGGCCACCGGAACAGCTCCCTGCCTCTAAGTGGACAGCCTTTCAAATACCTGGTGCTTCTCACAATTACCCCATAGAATTAGTAGAAATATCTGCCAGGCCACTTCCTGAGTTCATGGCTGAGATGGGATTTGCATAGGAGACTCCTTGGGTCCCTGATCCCACTGTCAGCTATGCAGATACAGCCAGAAGGGGCTCCACTGGGTGGTTTCCACTTCCCCTGTGGGTTTACCCACATACTTTATACCCTTTGTATGGCTGTCCCCAGGACTCTTTTGGTAGAAAAAGCCCAGCAGGAACTCATTAGCATAATAGGCCACACCCAACAGCAGGAACTCATTAGCATATTGGGCCACACCCCTGACAGCACAGCTCATTAGCACATTAGGCCCCACCCCCATGTTACCAGAAGTGTGGTCATCCAGCCACACCCACCTTTCCCTTCTTATTCTGTTTACTTTGTTGTCAAAACCCAGGGCTTTTTTTGTAGCAGGAACTCCTTTGCATGTTAGGCCACACACCCCTAATGTAGCCAATCCTAATGAGTTCCTGCTGTTGGGTGTGGCCTATTATGCTAATGAGTTCCTGCTGGGCGTGGCCAACTTGGGAGCCAGACGGAACTCCATGCCCTGGTTTTTAGCATCTTGCACAAGTGCAGACCTGTGGATCAGAAGTACATAAACCTTGCAAACTAAGCCTTTCATCCTTCTGGAGCCCCTGCCTTTGCAACAGTGCTGCATTTATGGGTGCACAGATCACATCTGCAATAGGACAGTGTCCAGTGTTGGATGCACGAACACCAGGGCTTAGATCCTAAACTTTCTTTCCGCTTGCACCCCTTTTCGTCCATTGTGGAGGCAGTCCTCCATTGCAGGCTGTGCTCCTCCGACGCTAAGCAGTTTTTATTGGTTTTGTGTGAGCAGAAGTGCCATAGAATAGACACAACATCACAACTGAAAAGGATGCTGCACAAGTGGAAGCAAATCTCAGGATCCAGCCTATGGCTGCAATCTTTACGGTGCAACCCCAATCAGAGTTACACCCTCCGAAGCCCATTGACTTCAATGGACTTAGAGGAGTGTAGCGCTCCTTAGGACCGCACTGCTAGACACTTCCCTAGGTTTAGGGATTCAAAATGTTGTGATCAGTTTTTTAAAAAAGAAGCCCCAGATGAATCAGGCAGGAGAGCCTATGGAAAAAATTCACTTCTAAGTATTCAGGAAAAAAAATGCACGATGTAGGTTCCATCACTTCCATACAGACAAGACCACCTCTTCTAAGATCTTCTACAAGATGTGTGTGTGCACCATCGTAGAACAAAAGAGTATACTTTCTTTTTATTTTTGCTCCAGAGCTATTGTTTTTACTCATATGCAAATCCATGCAGGTTGAAATGATTAATTAATCTGTTAAAACTCAGTGATTTAGCCTACCAGGATCCCTTTAATTAGCTGATAGCTTTATTTAACGCTGAACATTTATATCCTTAATGGACAGGAAACACAGTTTAGGAGCACACGGGGGAGCTGTAATGGATTGAGAGCTACTTTCCAGGTTACTCCCGTGCTTCCGAAATCAAGGAAATGAGAAGCACCAGCATATTCTCACTGATCAGCATACGTTTTTATTCTCTTGATTCCCATATGTAGTACTGCTGCATGTTGCTTAAATGGATCGTACATCTCCTCGCATGTCCTCTCACACACAAGCTGTTTCTCCAACACTTAATATTCCAGAAAGTTATTTTGCAACGCACCGAAAAATGGCAACCGGACGATCAGGTTAAAATGATTCGCTGGGTTACCTTGAGTACTATGGTTTACAGGATGCTAGGAAATGCCTGACTGTGTTGTCCATGCCTCTCCCAGACAGTAACTGAGTCCCTGTTGCAATGTTCATTCAGAAATACACACAGTTTACACTTCTACGTGGCCCTGAATCTCCCCCCCCCCTTCCCTCACTTTCCCTTCCCTACCAAGCCACACTGTAGTGTTATGGCGCAGCTAGGAAGGGAAGGTGAAAGAACCCATTAGAATGGCTAAAGGGAGTACACAGCATGCCATTTTGAAAATGGACCTCAGTCGCACCCTCCCTCCTAATTAGGGTTGCCAACCTGGGAGCTTTTATGCCTGGTTTCAGAAGAAGCAGTAGAGCTGACCTGAATGGAGAGGACTGCTTTTCACTAGAAGCATTTTCAAGTGGTGAAAATCCCCCCCCACCCCAGAAAGTCAAAGTCCATCGCCACTCCAGGGCAAGGAGGCCCCCTGGCCTGGCCCACAGCGATTCCAGCACCTTTCTTTTCTTATCGTCCTCCTTTCTTAAACCCCGCCCTACCCAGGACCCCCCCCCCCCCCCAACCCCCCC